ATATATATATATATATATATATATATATATATATATATATATATATATATATATATATATATATATATATATATATATATATATATATATATGCCCAAGTAAGTAAAGCAAACAAAATGTTGGGATTTATTCGACGTACACTTTCTAGAGACAAGAGATTACTGTATATTACGTTAGTAAGGAGTCACCTTGAATATGCATCCGCGGTCTGGAGTCCTAAATCACTAAATCAGTATGTTGATCAAGTTAATCGAAAGGGTTCAACGACGGGCAACCACGGGCAACACGTTTTGATGCCATTACTTGAATACAAACAACGACTCCGACGACTTGATCTTCTCCCTTTGTTGCATCGACGGGAGATAAAGGACTTAACTACCTTTTCAGTATGAGATGAAAAGCGGGTTGTATAGTAGTTGTAATATTGACAATATTACAACTACTATACAACCCGCTGAACAATTCATATGTTGTATTTGGCTCAGATAGTATAGATTAAGATCAACTGCTCAGGGGAAATTAAGAACTCCCATGCAGATGCAGAACAGTACATTTTTAATCGAGTAGTCTACCCGTGGAACAATTTACCTGAATACCTAGGGTGAAAGTTTAAATATGATTGTAGTAGGGAGTTCTACAAAACTATACCTGCATATCACATATGATCCGGATCGACCTCGTCACGTGTTTCACTTGAATCTTGGGAAGCATAAGAACATTGAGTATACATTACTAATTTTTACTATACTATAGTATTTTACTATAGTATAGTTATACACTTTTTGATATATAGTATATAGTATAGTAACTTTTTGATATATAGTATAGTAACTTTTTTCAGCACTATATATACTATAGTAACTTTTTGATCGTGTCTTGGTGGAACAGCTTAGTATGGTTCTTTTAGTTCCTTTCTGTTCTTCCTTTTGCGTATATATTTTTATATTTATTACTTCTTGTATGCAGTAAAACTTTTATTAAATTAAATTAATGGAGTCCTCGTGACCGGATATATTTCAGGAAGGGTTGGTCAGCAATAGAGGCAGATAATTTCCATGTAATGCGCGTCACAAAACCTTGGTGTTGATGTTTAAACTAGACTTTTTGTGGATTTAAATATGACGAGGAAGTGCTAATACGTTTAATTAACAGGAGTGGACGGTAATATGAAAAAGAGTGAAATAAACCAAATTAAAACGAAATTGAAAATTAATTTTGTATTGAATAAAGTGGTTTTTAAAAGTATTATACTAGGATGCATGCATGGTCATAGTAATTTTTTGTAACTGCATGTTAGTCAGTGTGGGATTTTGATGATAACATTCATATTGTTGATGCATTTGGGGAGAAATATTTGCATGGAAAAACTGTTGTGACCTTTCATGAAAACGTTATCAACAGGGCCCGCGGAGCGTATTAGAGAGTGGGGGGGCTAAAGGGTGAGGTTTAATTAATTTAGAAAGTTTCATTTAGATTTCTATTTTAATAATTTTGGCTGTCAAAAAAATCCCCCCCAGCCCCCCCGTCTCCGCGGTCCCTGTCAGATGATTGTTTATTCAGTTTGATTTATAAACACTTGCCTTGAGTTCAAACTGCACGAAACAGTAGCACTAAATCGACGCTGAAATTGATCATACCGTTCATACGAATTATTATGAAAACCGCTTTTATCGTCTTATCAGTCTCTTTCAGTGAACGAACCAAGGTCAGTGGTCCGACACAATTGCCCTTGTGACGTCATATGGCTGTGTCATTATCTTTCATTATTTGAATGCACTCTATTTTACGTAACATAAATAAACAGCAATCAAAATTCTTTGTTGTTGTCACATATACATCAGTACGGCGCTCATGACGTCTTGTGAGCTTCATGTATAAAAGTCATCACTTGAAACGAATAATGCAGCAATCCTGAATCAGGCTGAATAGGTCAACGGATGATGGCATCATTTCAGCAGGATGTTTTATGAAACGTTTATCAGTGATCCGTCTGACTGACATGTGTTTTACGTCTTTCATTAGATTGTAAAAATATGAGGACATAGTTGTTTTTGGAAACCGCATTTCATTTGTATCTCATCTGGTCTTGCTTTTGCAATTTTGGCAAATCGCATCATCTGGTTTGTGACTGTCTTCATCGCAGGCTCAGTATTAACATTATGTTATATTATGTCATTTGGTTAACAAATGACCCTGTATCCCACTAAAGAACAATGAACATTGACCTGCAGTTGAACAACATACAGTAATGAAATAATGTCGTATTTGAGTTATACATTCAATGCTGCTGATAGATAGCTTCCATTTATATACGAAACTCGTAAGTATGGAATTTATCGTATTTGTTTCACAATTTTCAACCGATATTTACTTTACTAGAGTTCTCTTTACATAGTAAATCGTTTCAAAAGTCACTTTGGTTTTGTTATGAACGTAGACTCCTGCCTGGCTAAATATACTAAAGTATATAGCTTATAGGACGTTTTGGTTTTTAATATAGGTACATTTATTATCGATACCGCATGCAGTATACTAAACCAGTACTATGCGCTTTTACCTATATCAGTATTGAGATATAAAATATAATAGCGTTGCTTGTCTCGTGCAGTATCTGTGAACACTTGTTGAACTTGATATACCAGATGTTTCCTGCTTTATTTGGTCGCGCCGCTCTTAAAACTCATTTGTCACGCATATACTTTATTGTCAAGGTTATATATCGATAAAACAACGTGGAATACCTCTAATCTCAGTATCTCACTCGGCAGTGTTTGAGAGTTAGTCACACAAAAGACATGCGATAAAGTATCGAAGATATACAGAGTATAGTTAGACTTCGCCTTGCTTTTGTTGTTTTGGTGCTGTTCAGGTTATCATTCAAGTATTATAAACGGTAAATATACGTTTACATCTAAACGATAATCGTTTATCATATAACCCAAAACGATCAATTTTATCTTTGCAAATTAATTGACGGTAAAGTGTTCATAAACGCGCGTAGATATGAGAATATAAATAGATGTGTATCTGAAACCACCATACATACACGGGCATATAGCCCCATAGGCACAGGCAATAGCCTATAGGTTACTAAATTGTCACATGGTCGTCATAGCGATTGTAAAATCAATAAAGTTTACAGTCTATATGCGGAGATTTGGGGTGTCGAAAGTTTATTTTTATAATCAGACAAAAAAAAGAAACGCAAAGCCTGTGCCCTGTGGGATTTGTCCTCTAACTTTTAGATGAAACGTGATCCATTATGCTCGACTCCGTGACCCACGAACCCATGCAATTTAATTCAAAACTTGCTGTATGGCTTTGTTCTGCGTTTGTACAATTCAATAACGATGACTGTCGATGTGTGTTTTGTTTTAAACCTTTTGACAGTCAGCAAACTTTATACTATTTGCTCGAGGAGCTTTTAGTGTTTTATTACACTGAGTGTTTGGTTTCAGCACAGGTGATCAAATCACTTTTACAAGGTAAATAAACTTGTAAACCGTCTCGATCTGTGGCGGTCCGCAAACATACAAGAGAGAATAATTATGCTAGCATAGATTGTATTAAACTTAAAGTTAGCTTGAAAATTAGTTAGAAACGCAATAAACTATAACGCAAAGGACTCGTATCTATTAATTATAAGATTAAATATGTAGTGTAGGCGTAGCTTTACTGCATAGCGCCATAGCCGTAGAAAATTAGTTTATTATAATGGCAGTTAATCTATTATGGCTTATATATACTTTAAGTGTGCATTTCCATCGCAGCGTAGGTGGACGTCAGTATTGCCTGAATTGGACTAATGAATTTTTTTTATATGATATGCGGTATGGATTAACCAAAATCATTCATAAAGGATCATGCATATCTGTCATTTTTGTTTGCTGGTTATCTGCACATTTTATATTATTGCTCAATGTTCTTGCCATCAGACTTTGTTACCATGGCACTTCAAACTTATTAAAATAAATCAAACTTCGCTATCATACAAAAAATAATTGCACCATACGTTCATGAATCATGAATAAATGCAGAATATGCAATTGTTTGAAGTGTTATAGTCTGCGATCGAGTATTTGCATGTAAAGTATATGTGAGTGGTTCACCAGTAAAAATAGAATATACGCACAGGATAATGTGCTGTAAAAAAATACATTTTCACTTGAACCACTCCGATACTGTATGTACTGCTTGGCGGTTTTTATATAGCCTTTGAAGTCTTCGCTGCGCCAATGAGGGGTAAGTAGCCTGCGTAGCAGTTTCAGTTATTTTGTCCTGGAGCCACAAGTTTTCAGGGACTATACTAGTGGGATTTAAGCTACTAGTTTCAGGGGGTGAAAGATGAATATTGAATACTGGGTCGTGAAAATATGAATATTGATGGTAGGAAATTCTTGTAGGAATATGAATTTTTAAGGTAGGAATATAAGTTATATAGAGGTATGAATATATTACAGTAAATATTTAACGAAAATATTCCTCTTCCACCCGTGAGACCAGTTTTCTCATGCATATTTTGCTCTCGTCAATGACACCGGCATACTTTCTGCATGTATACAAAATGTTACAGGGGTGTTCCGAAAAAACTCAATAGCTATATAATATGACTAATATGTTCCAGTTTTGTACACAGTTTAATCTATGAAATTAAATGACATATATGATTATTAAAATTGGTCTAGTGGGTCATCATGCATATTGAAACTTTACACAACTGCGGTCTGATGCATGATTTCAATGGTCATTGACATTGATATTATTGTGAACCAGACTTTATTATTTTTTAAACAGTCGTGCATATATAGCCATAGCATTTGTTCTACTATACTATTTAGACCAGTTTTATTTTTAGGTCAAAATTCGATGCTCACAAATAGTCGCTGTGTAATCTCATAGGTCCTCATCATTGGTCCTCATAGGCAAGCTATTGCATTTATTTCTGGACACCCCGTAGATTGCTGACTTGCGTGACTTTCTTGTACTGAGATTGGACCAGGTCACCTTGTATAGCCCAGTCACAAACCACGACATATACTTGAAAAACATCAATAAACACTTCAACGTTTCGAGCGAATTGCCAGTTTGCAGAATGTAACTGCATGATCGACCTTCTGACGATAGCTATAAAAACCGACGCCGAGTCAAAACGATAAAGTATAATTTATTGCGTGCATAATATAAATCATGCACAAAATAAGTCTTTATCTTCATCTGTATATATTTCAGCCATTAATTTTCTCAGTATTTTTTATATACACTAATACAGTATAGTGCACAAAAAGGAGCCGTCATCCCATGACTATAGCGACCTTATTTTGTTCACTAAGAATAAACAACGGTCTTCACTAGACCAATAATTTATGGGGTGACGGTACTTTTGAAGACAGTTAGACGGCTCTTATTTAGTGAACAAAACGAGGCCGATAAGCTTTGAGGTGACGGCTATACTTCTGAAGACTGTTGCTATATAGAGAATAAAACGAGGCCGTCCGATAAGTCATGAGATGACGGCTACCTTCTTGAAGACTCTTCTAAATATATAAAGTGACAAGATTTTCTTGAAGACTACATTTGAAGATTGTCACAGTTCAGCTCTAAAATTATACTATAGAGTATAGTGAACAACATATGAGTCATGAGGTTGTTATTGAGATGACGGTTACTTTTGCCAGTCTTATTTAGTGAACAAAACGAGGCCGTTATAATAATATTAAGACATGAGATGACGGCTACTTTTGAAGACTGTTCAAATATAGTGAACAAAACGAGGCCGTTGCTTAAGATGACGGCTACTTTGAGTCTTTGAAGACTGCCCGGCGTTATATAATGAAAACGAGCCCGTTAAGTTTTGAATCTAGCCGCCACTTTTCAATGCCATCATGGCATTGGGTAGTATTAATAACTAAATGTCAATGTACATTTTATTAACATTTATATTCTATTTCATTATACCAACCAAGAAAATTGCTTCTAAAATACTATAAATCGTTCATTTATGTACTGAACTGAACAAGATGACGGCATGGTGGAAAACGCGAGTATCAAAAAATAAAAGTAAAGATTATATGGAAAATAAATATTAGTACAAAGAGGCAAACAGAGCAACGTCAACGAACAATTCGTTGTCTCGCGAGTGCCGAGTGCACGTCTTCGGGTTAGACTGAAGTCGTGAAGATGTGATCGTCATAAGTATATAATTGCTATATTAATTAATAACTATATAACGAAGTGTACATAATATCCTCATCTTTCGCGCGCGAATATATTTCTCTTTGATCTCCCAATTCAAACGTCTTTCCTATAAAGGCTCCTTACCAGATTGTTCATCATGCAGCGACGATAAAATTGGCACAATGTCAATGGTCAATGCAAATGTTCAAGGAATGTATGTTTTTTACAAACTAATTCACTTATCAGAGATATTAATGTGGCCGAATGAAAGAATCGTTTCACTCAATTTTCATGCCCTAACAAGTATGAAAAAACTAATTCTTTAATTAATGTAACATACATGTTATGTAATATGTTATAATAATATATGTAACATATATGTTGTAAATGGAAGAACAAACGGTGATCTCCCTGGGCAATTACCTGTCAGACCTATAACGGGGCAAGTGTGGTTGACTATGTTGTTATCTCGCACAGCTTGCTTTCATTTGTTGTAGGCTTTAATGTTGAAGATATCACTGAATTTTCTCATTCATGTCTGTCTTTTATACTACAGATTAAATATCCACAAAACTCAGGTGATACTTTCAAATTAACCCCTCATAATAAATCTTTTATTTGGAATGAAAGGATGCTCTAAGAGAATGCATGAGTTCGAACGAAATAGAAAATAAATTAGAATCGCTATTTTTCCAGCATAAAGGTGTATCTAGTGATGAAGCAACCGACACAGATGCTTGTAGCTAATTTCTCAGAAATTTTGTCCGATACCTCACAAAAATTTCTAAAAATTAAGAGGCAAAAGAAAAAGATCAAAAAAGGTAATACCAAAATGAGACAGGAATGGTATGACGGAAATTGTCACAATCTGAAAAAAAAACTTGAGAAATTTCGGTAGTCTACTCCGGCTTGAAATTTCCCAACGACATTTTCTTACGTCATCTCTTTTTTGCAAAAAAGAAGGAATATAAACGTACAGTTGAAAAACAAAAAAGACAATTTCATAATTCTATACTAAATAAAATTGAATTATTATCAGAAAACAATCCTAAAGATTCGGATTTCTGGAAACTCGTTAACGGCATAAAAGCTCAAAAACCTAGAACTTCACACGAAATTCTACCATCTGAATGGTTTGATTATTTCAAAAACTTGAACAAAATAAATATCAATACTGAAGTAGCAAGCAGTGAAGCACAAATCATAAAAGATTTTAATATCTGGGCATTAGGTACAAACGATACTCTTGACAGACCAGTATCACTGGAAGAAGTGTACAAATTATCAAAACGATTAAAGAATAAGAAAGCCAGTGCCAATGACTCGTTGTCCAATGAGATCATTAAACTAGCAGTTGAGGTTCTGCCATCCTACTTTGAAAAACTGTTTAATAAAATCTTGTCCAATGGATACTTCCCATCACTTTGGTCTAAAGGTTTTATAGTCCCCATTTATAAATCAGGAAGTAATATCGACCCGAATAATTATAGAGGAATATGCATAAGTAGTTGTTTGGGAAAATGTTTTACATTAATTATGAATGAACGACTAAATAAATATCTAGACGAAAACAACATTATGAGCAATTGCCAAATCGGATTTAGAAAAAATTATAGGACCGGTGTCCCAGGATTTTCGCCCCCCCCTACATTTTCGCCCCCCGGGGGGCGAAATTCCTAGGAATTCCCCCCAGGGGGGCGAAAATCCTAGGAATTTCGCCCCCCTTTAGGAAATTCGCCCCCCTTTAGAATCTTCACCTTTTCTTTAGGATTTTCGTCCTCCGTTCAAAATTTCGCCCTTCCTAACAGTTGCATGGGATAATTATTACATGACTTTAATCATTTGAAATCAGTATCAATTCAAAATTGTTAAGACAGAGCTTGAAATAACAACCGATCACCGATCAGTGATCGGCAAGGAATTGCTTATGATCGGCGGAAAAGCAGGGTTTCGGTTTCCAACCTGAAAAAAGCAGGGAAAGTCACGACTGCCGATCACCATGATTGGGAACTTTGGGAACGTTATTTCAATTAGCCCTGCATGTAAGAATACAAATTTACAATTCCATGTATCGAAAGGGCTTTACACAGTTACAGTAGATCAATACTCAATAGGACTTATGACGCTTCACTGCACAGCATGCATATTTTGCATTTTCAGTGTTAATCCTTAAACTCATTGTTAAAAAGTAATCACCGTGGTGGTTATTGTAATTATTGGTATTGTTTTGCATCCACGTTCTGTCGTTATGGGAATATGTATGGTTTGTCACTATTTTTTACTTGCATTATTTCAATATAGTTTGTAAATCTCAGAAGCGAAGGGTAGAACTTGCCAATAGGCAATAATCCAATAATATACGTTTCAAAAAAGACAAGAAAGCTTTTAGTTTTGCAGAGTTACAT